AATAACTGTGATYTTGGTTCAGATGTGCCCGACCCTCCTGAGAACATCAAATGCATGGGGGTGGGAGAGGACTGTGCTACCATTGTTTGGGATCCTCCTAAATTTGATGGTGGTGCACCAGTCAAAGGTGAGTATTGACTATATATAGTCCAGATGGGATAYATTTTAAAGTTATATTTAAATTTATGTTTGTACTCTAACAAGGTTACCTCATGGAACGAAAGAAGAAAGGCTCCTCTAGATGGACAAAGCTGAACTTTGATGTTTACGAATCAACCACATATGAAGCTAAGAGGATGATTGAAGGAATTTTCTATGAAATGAGGGTGTTTGCCGTTAACAGCATCGGCTTGTCTCAGCCAAGCCTCAACTCCAAACCCTTCATGCCCATCGGTAAGCCTCACACCCGTCCTTTTCTTAAATCTTTCAGAGCCTGTCCTTGTCGCTCCCTTCGTGTCTCACACTTCTTCAGCTAGGCCAGTCACTTTATGCTCTTGAGTCTCCTTTTTTTTGTCACCTTCAGCTCCAACCAGCGAGCCAACACGTCTGACAGTCCACGATGTGACAGATAGCACATGCAGCTTGAAGTGGCTCGCCCCTGAGAAGATTGGAGCTGGGGGCCTGGATGGCTATGTTATTGAATACTGCAAGGAGGGAGGTACTGAGATCACACTCTGAATTATGTCTACACTATCAATTTTTTCAGTTTTTCAGTGTCGCTTTTCCATAAGAGAACAATAACATAGTTGAAAAGCTTTGAATCCCACTCAAAGCGATTTACTACATTTTCTTTTTTTTTTCTTTTTTTTTTTTGTCTCGGCAGACACTGAGTGGGTAGTTGCAAACAAGGATCTTTGTGAGAAGCAGGGATTTGTGGTGCGTGGCCTCCCTGTGGGGGAGAAGATCAACTTCAGGGTAGTGGCAGTAAACATTGCTGGTCGCAGTCTGCCCGCTATACTGTCACAACCTGTTACCATCCGTGAGATTGTTGGTGAGTGAAACAGTTTTTGGTGAGAACAAAGTAAAAGAGCATAGTTAAGAAAAATGTTTAAAAGTTGAGTATTTTTTTTTTTTACATTTTCCAGGACTTGCTTTGTTTTCATTGCCTGGAGATACATATGCATGTGGACTAGAATCTGATTAAAATAATAATGAATAACAATTCTATGAAAATGAACAAATGAAAGTCAGACATTGCTTTTCAAACATGCTCCAACAGAATTTTTTTAAATAAAACTCCAGAAACAGGCCTGAGCAGAAATTATGGTAACCTTAACTTAATATTTTGTTGCTCAACCTTTTGAGTCAATCACTACAATTAAACGATTCCTGTAACTGTCAGTGAGACTTCATCTCTCAGCAGGTATGTTGTTCCACTCATGAGCAAACTGCTCCAGTTGTCTCAGGTTTGAAGGGAGCCTTTTCCAGACGTCATGTTTCATCACCTTCCAAAGATGCTCAATAGAATTTTGGTCAGGGCTCATAGAAGTCCACTTCAGAATGGTCCAGTGTTTCCTCTTAGCCATTATTGGGTGKTTTAGCTGTTTGTTTTGGGTCTTTATCCTGTTGCAAGTACCATGACCTGCTGAGACCAAGCTTTCTGACACTGGGCAGCACATTTCTCTCTAGAATCCCTTAATAGATTTGAGATTTCATTGTACCCTGCACAGATGCCAGATGTGGCAAAGCAGCCCCAGATCATAACAGAGCCTCCTCCTTGTTTCACAGTAGGGACAGCGTACTTTTACTGATTCAATTCAACTTTATTCAATTCCATTCAATTCAATCAGTTATTTTATACAGTGCCAAATCACAACAATTGTTGTCTCAGGGCACTGTACACACACACACATACACACAAAAATAAAAATAATAAATAAATCTAAAGAAGAAGCCAGCAGATTGTGTTGAATGTTCACTTCGTCACAGCCTCCCATCCTGAGCAGCAGGTTATTTTTCCCTCTGTGAACATAAAGCTGGTGTGCCTTTCCAAAACGTCCCACTTTTGTCTCATTTGTCTATAGGATATTCTCCCAGAAACTTTGTGGCTTGTCAACATACAGTTTGGCAAATTCCAGTTGAGCTTTTTTATGATTTGTTTTCAACAATGGTGTCCTCCTTGGTCGTCTCCCATTAAGTCCACTTTGGCTCAAACGACGACAGATGGTGTGATCTGACTCTGATGTTCTTTGAGCTTTAAGTTCACCTTTAATCTCTATAGAAATTTTTCTGGGCTCTTTTGTTACCATTCATATTAGCCGTCTCTTTGATTTGTCATCAATTTTCCTCTTCCGGCCACATCTAGAGAAGTTGTATACAGTCCCATGGATCTTAAATTTTTGAATAATTTGTGCAACTGTAGTCACAGGAACATCAAGCTGCTTGAAGATGGTCTTCAGTCATCAGTACTTAGTGCTAACTTTTACTCATAATACTAATATTTGAGCTAGCATCATACTCTCTGGCTCTTTGGGAGTGGAGGAACCAAATGGCTGGTTGACTGCTGCCAACTAGTGTTCGGAGGCTAAACACAAGAATGAACCGCTGGTGTAAAAGATTACATTTTAAACCTTAAAAATTGATACAGTGCTTTAGAAAATCGATACAGTATCAGGAATTGAAATATTGTGATATTTTGGTGTATCAATATATTTTTACACCCCTAACATATACAGAATATAAAGTTGTTTCATGGTGGTGTTTGTTTTAATTCTGCCTTAGAACATCCAAAGATCCGCCTGCCTCGTGATCTGAGAACCAAATACATCAGAAAAGTAGGAGATAAGATCAACCTGACCATCCCCTTCCAGGTTTGGATGAAGACAAATCTTGAACAAATTATTTTATTTTGAGTCTAAGGACAAACTAATTAGTGGGCTACTGTAAAAAACATGTTGTGGAGTTTTCTTTGACTTTGATGGACTGTTTGTGTATCACAGGGCAAACCACACCCTGTCGCGACCTGGTTCAAGGATGGTCAACCAATCGACCCCAAGATGGTGAACGTCCGTAACACAAATGTAGACAGCATTTTCTTCATCCGCTCAGCAGAGAGAGAGCACTCTGGGACATATGAGATGGTTCTAAAGATTGAGAACATGGAGGACAGGGCTTCCATTAACATCAGGGTTATTGGTAAAGTTGTTAAGACTCYAATTACTTTTTTAAAATCAAACCTGACATCTAAAAAAAAAAAGCATGGCAAAGTGCTTGTTTATCAATTGAACTACAAGGTGTTTAATCCAAACAGAGAAGCCTGGACCGCCTCAGAATGTGAGAGTGACCGACGTCTGGGGCTTCAACGCAGCCCTGGAGTGGGACCCCCCAAAAGATGACGGAAACAGTGAAATCACTGGATATACCATCCAGAAAGCAGATATGAAGACCAAGGTGACAAAAAAGTGAAAAACGAAAAGTGTTTTTTTACAAATTTGGTGCAAATTCCCTTTTAAATCTGTAACACTCGGCTCTCTGTCGGGTTCCCAAACGCTCCAGGAATGGTTCACCGTTTACGATCACAACAGACGGCCAAACTGCACGGTCTCAGATCTGATCATGGGTAATGAGTATCAGTTCCGAGTCTACAGCGAGAACCTCTGCGGCCTGAGTGAGGAGCCGCGCCTCAGCAAGAACACAGCCGTCATCCCCAAGACAGGTGTGACAGTGCGTGACAGCACAGATTACTGTATCAGTCGGGACATAAAGAGCATGAAGTGTTTGCATTTTTCTCTGGGAAATGTGCGACCATTCGTCTCTCTGCCACGCTTGTTTTTCTACAGGCCTGGAGCACAAACCAAACCCCTATAAGGAGATGGACATGGCTTGTGCACCTAAGTTTACTCAGCCGCTGGTGGACAGATCTGTTGTTGCCGGTTACAGCACTGCCATCAGTTGCGCCGTGAAAGGCTTTCCCAAGGTAAACATCACTGTGGAGATTTTACAAGCTGACAATGACACTTTTGTTGCGCAAGCTGTAATATAAATTTTACTATAACAAGGTGCACAGATCTATTGAAAGTATTGTATGTATGACCCATACACCGCTGTCATTGTGGGGGTCATAATTAYGCTGGACGCTCTTTGTGGCAGCTTCCAGCAATATTTCATATATTTTCTTCAACAATAAATAGATAAATAAATTTGTGTTTTACACACTCACTCTCTAGCGCATTGAGGCTCCTATAGCAGCTCTTCTTCAGTGTTTTTAGATGGTTCTTCTTTTACTGTTTAGCTGTAGCTCCATTTCATATCAAATGATAAAAATGGATGTAAAAGTGTTTTGATGGAGAAATATTCAGATATAGATGGTGTCAATCCTGTCAGAATTAAATACTATTTCAGCACACGGATGTAAGATATTGTTTGTTCATCACCTTCCCACAGAACTCCACTTTAAAATACTAGAATTGTTGTTTTAAGTGTTTTAGGTTAAATTTTGCTTCACAGGTAGACCTTTTTCAAAAGGGCATGTTGTGAAGCGGTTTATTTGAATGAAAATAGTCACAATATCAAACCGTTATATTATTTAAGTGGATTAATTTACCGTATTTCTAAAATTACGTATTTTTTTCTCCATCTTAGCCTAAGATTGTGTGGATGAAGAACAAAATGATCATTGGGGAGGATCCCAAGTACTTGATGCAGAACAATCAGGGAGTGCTGACCCTCAACATTCGGAAGCCAAGCACTTTTGACGGGGGCAAATACTCCTGCATGGCTGTCAACGACTTGGGCAAGGATGAAGTGGAGTGCAAGYTGGACGTCCGAGGTGAGAATAGATTAAAGAGGCTGGGAGGGGGCATGAGATGAGGAGGGAAGGAATTTCAGGCATTTTACTTCTAAATGATGATAACGAAATTTACTGTGTACAAGATAATCAAAGCAAAATATGAGCTCATATGATTACAGCTTAAAATGAATGAAGAAGTTAAAAGTTGTTTGAAAAATTGCTCCTAGCACTCACCTTTCTCTTCGTCTCACAGTTGCCACAGATCCAGACAAGAAATGAGMAGCCAAACGGCAAAGAATGTGAAAATGAGCCAAACAGTAAATAATGAGTGAATGTTACCATGAAGGGTACATGAAGTGAATCAAATAAAATTTATTGATGCCTGCTACAAWTTCATTGCTTTTGTCTTGCATCTTTTTTCCTCTGTTCAAAATTATTTGTATTATTTGGGTGAAAWAAACAAAATTCATACACAACATTCATAGAAAATAAAAATAGCTCCCAGTGTTCACACATRAAACTCATATTGATTTAAATACATAATACATGATTTATGGAGACATCTTCCATGTTTTTGTATTTTTTTAAGCACAGCTGTGGTCATCTGTACTACATTTCTCTGGAGTAGTGTGCTCTCCGCCTGTGGACTGCCACCCCTATACTGAACAACAGCGCCACCGCCAGGAGTCCCACCGCCACTGCAAGAGCTGTTATGATACCTGTWGAGGGCAAACATTAGAAACTAAAAACAGAACATCCAAAAGTTTGCAATTAATGGTCATTCACAGAATGCTTATCACCCACTGACTATAAAATGATTCATTTCAAGACGATTACCACAGTAAAATCTTGTAATGCTGGGTTCACAGCAAGATAATTGTGCCAATTTTAGCCCAATTTTGCCCTTTCAACAACCTTGAGGACCCCCACATTATCATAATGGCTCTAAAGATAATTTTAGGAGATATTCCTGCAATGTGTGGCATGTTAAAAGTGATCAAGTTAGCCCAGAAGGATGTTGGGACAGCTCCAGCCTCAAATCAGGGACATTCAACATGTTGGCCCGATATCCCAGCATGTGTGGTGTCCCCCAAAAATCGAATGACAATTTTTAAATCTTGCCCTGTGAATCGGGCATAAGTTGTGTTAAGACTGGGGGAGTTAAGAATGACTCTCAATTATTTTTGCATAAACTTAACCCCATTATCTGTAACTTTGTGTAGCTAGTATTGGCAAAAATCGATTAGCTGTGGCAGCCATCTTTAACTGGGACGACTCCAAAGGTTATATGATGTGACCCAATTCAGGGGCTGCAGCCTACCTAGACCGCAGCCCACAGAGACCACACCCTTCTCAGTCCATGTACTGTAGGCTGCATTTAAAGGCTGTGAAATGTGACGGTCTAGTCTTCGGATGACGTATGACGACCTTGCACTACCCTGTTAACATGGTGATTGGTTTTCTGTCACGTGTCTTCAGATTTTTAAAATGCGTTAGGACAAACTGTATATTCATACTCAGCTGGGAATAATACTCAGATGCAACCTTCATTTTTGTAGTTTTGTGGGCCACATTTGTCRGCCACATGAAAGGGAGCCCACGAATTGGGACAGCCTTCAGCAYGGGGCAGTGACGTAAGCAGCTGACAAACGTGGACCACAAAGGACACAGYCCCTGAGTTGAGACACAGCCATAGCTGTACATCCAACAGTTCCTTTCTGAAGGTTTCATTAAAACCCATCCAGTGGTTCACAAGATAATTTGCTAACAAATGGACAGTCTTTTTAAACCACTATTGCCAAAGTTTTAAGCAAAACAAAAAATTGTGTGGAATTTGAAGTTTGTGTTGAGGATGACTCTCTGCGACTATCTCACCAGATTTGAGTTCAATAAATGTAAAATTATCTGAGTTGTAGCCATGTTTGTGTTTGCCCAACTAGTTTACTTAGCTGTGGCAGCCATTTTCAATCTGCTTGACTCCAAAAGTGAACTAGTTCTTGATGTAAATCTMATAACTACTTCCAGAGAGTTATATTCAGATCCATGCACTGGCTCATAATGGTGCACATAAATGAACACACATACAGACATGAGCAGAAGCATCATTGCACCTTCATGTAAATAAGAAAAATCRAAACCTGTGCTTGACAACTTTGTCCTGAAGCTGCAGTCAGAATCCAGTCCCTGTGGCACCACGTCCCGCAGCAGCTCAGTGAGCATGGACAAAGGGCAGGGGTTCAACCCGCCGCATCCTGGCACCGGGTTGGGGTAGGGGTCGCGCCAGGACTCGTTGCGATAAAACAGCTCCACAGAGTAGGATCTGGGTAATTATTAGCACAATGAGATGATAAACAGTGGTGGGACRTGTTATGTAAACCTGCACTGATTTAACCAGTGTGGAGCTGGACCGATGCCCAGCTTCCATCGGATTGAAAGAAAAAATATGTTTGAATGGTTCATTCAGCTAAAAAGTGGAATGCAATAATACAAAATGTGTGTGTGTGTGTGTGTGTGTGTGTGTGTGTGTGTGTGTGTGTGTGTGTGTGTGTGTGTGTGTGTGTGTGTTGGGTGCATCCGACCTAGATAGCTTGCACAAATACGCAAAGAGAAAAAGCGCACGAAATAAAAACTGGAAGGAAGTCATTACCCATCATACTCCTGGTAGAACTCAAAGAGCTGACAGGCGGCGTAGGGAGGAAGGAACCCGTTGTAAACGTCCAGCGCTGCCTGGAGGGTGATGAGTGTGGAGTCATGCTAGGGTGAGGAGCGAGCATTCAGAATGACAAGGAGGTGAGGAGACGTGAGGCTGCGGCGCTCAGGATAGATGGTAAAATTTGCAAATGCGCACCGGAAAAAAAAAAAAGATGCGGTTTAAGCAGGGAACTTACAGCCGAGTACATGATGAATTTGAGCGGGCGGCCTTGCTCCACAGCGTCAGAGAAGTTCCTCAGGATGGCGTTTAGCAGAATCCCTGGTAAATGAATGACAGTGTAAATTAATTTACGTAACCTTTTTCACATTATTGAGCTGCTGTTTCTTGGCCTCGTCAGCTTTGTCCTATTAGCTCCGATGTGGTAGTATTCTTCAGGGAACCCAACACTTTACACCGTCTGCAGCAACACAGCTTTACTACACAGCTTTTGTTCTCTAATATTTCGGTTCTGGTAATGAATCGTTTTTGATGTGAAATCCCACCTCCAGAGAGCCTGGCCTTCTCTTTCCGCTTGTGACTGAGGATGCTGTACGTGACCTCAAAGGATGCAATTCTCCTCAGGGTGTCCAGGACGTCATGGGTGGCCCAGCGTGGCAGAGTCAAGTTATGGATCCTCTGTTCAAAGAATAAAAGAATACAAAAAAATCTAAACAAAAAAGCAATCATTATCTTGTTAATAATAACAGAACACAACACAYGCGCGGAAAAGAACAAGGTTTAAAATGTCGTATTACATCCTTTCTGTTGTTCCGTCTATTTTTAGAGCAAGTCGGAAGATAACAGATGCTCATTTTGCAAGTGTGAATGAGCGTCTTCAACCTGGCCCAGAATCCTCCCGTGTCATAATGTTTTAATTACTATTTCCATATGCTCTCCTATTCATGTCTGACTGGAAGTAGGAAAATATTTCCCTCTGTTTTCAATTCTGCAGAAGTGAATTCAGCAGAATTTTTTTCATCTCCTCGTTTCTGTTTCGCTCAAAGTACTTTGCAGTTGGCGAATTATCCTTGATCCTAATACTTAGATTGACAGCGCTGTGCAAAAGTCTCGAGTCATTCCTCGGCTCTTCATGAGTTGCTTTCAGGGAGCCAGACTTTCTGAAAATCGTTCAAAGTGGTCTTCATCAAAACTTTTTTTTCTTTGACTTTGGCGGGGGTGGGGGGTTTGTGGTTTGTTGAAGTATAAAAACATTAAGGTGTAGCATTCAATGAAGGGCGACCTTCCATATCAAAGTTTTATCCTAAAATTATCTACAGAAATGTTGTTTCGCTGTTTCAATCAAACCTTGAAAATAATATGGGCAATCCTATGTGATTCTATAAGATGTCTGCCACATCAGATTTTATCTTAATATCATTAGGATTGACCAATACTCATTATTTTGTAGGTTAATGTTAATCAGCTATGCAGCCATCTTTATTTATGGATCTGTCTAAAAGTTTCATTAAATCCTATCAAGTGGCTCATGAGATGTTTTACTAACAGACAAACAGAGATAACTCAAGTTAATTCAAAAGTAGTGGTGTCACAATACTGGTACTGGTAGTGGGTCTGATACCAGCATTTTTAAAAGTTCTACTCGTTCAAAATACCCCAATACTCGGTATCCGGTACACTTTGTTTGAGAACCTCCATTAGACTCCAGTGTGAATGCTTTATGATGTTGATGTGACATGCATGCATACAAGATGACATGACAACACATTCCTCCAGTTGTTTACAAGAGTAAACAGGYTGTTAAGATTAGATGCTACATGTTGGCTTGTAGTGCAATCAGAGCCAGTTAAATTATCCAACATGCTTGTATAGTTCACTGTTTACATTTTAACCTGCCTCTAGTCGGCTGCTCTGGTGAAGCGAGAGCGACTCGACAATCTTGAAGTAAAACTACTGGTAACTGAAATATCAGTCCACTTTAGTATCACCACAATCTGACACCATTACCATGTTTTTGTGGATTCTCAGTCTTCCAGGACATGGAAAATTCTAAGAAAGGATGGAGCAACTGGACTTCTGTTTTTTAGCTAAAGATGTGTGTGGAGTGACATGTTGAAAGTGAAACCAACTAAAACAWTGATYTAGAACTTTAGTATCGAYATTGGCCGACATTATTWCTATCAGATGTTTCTGTGGATTCTCAGTCGTCCAGGTCATGGAAAGTTAAAAGAAAAAAAGACAACACAACKGGACTTCTGTTTTGTAGCTGAAGATGTGTGCAGCTACAYGATTTAAACTGCATGACTCAAGGTTGATATCTTAATTACTTGGATCAATCTTCTCACCCCCACCTCACTGACATAAAAGTCAACATTTACTSAGGTTSGCTTTGAMAAACATCAGATATGTGATTTAAAACCAAGTTCTAATTAAAGAAWTGTGTTTTTATAATCATCGTGTTATGTTTAATTTCTAACTCATTAAGTACCGGGTATCAGTGAGTACCCAAACAAAAGCACTCACACTCGGTTTGAAAAAAAAAATCGGTATGGGGATACCTCTAGTTTTAGGTAAAGATTTCACAACATGAGATGTTCAAAATGGTTTATGCACCTACGGTAGTCAAGCCTTCRGTTATGTATGTATTTGCAGAGAGACATACCTGACAGGTGAGCGTGTCGTAGACCCTCCAAATTTTTTTACCAACCAGTCTGGACACGGGGTAACCAGTGTAATTAGAAAGTGCCTCCACAAAGTTCTACGAGAAAAAGAGAAGAATAATTTAAGCTTCAAATGAAGACACTGCAGGGATTCTTTCATTTTAATTACCTTTGTAATGGGTAACGTTGAACTTTTGTGCCATTCTTAGTTGGTACACTGATTTAAGTATCTTTTTGTAGGTGTTTAGAAATCCAAATGCACACGCTGCTCAGTTTAACAGATTGAAACAGTCAGGTCTTGTTTTGCGAGTCAGATAAACAGCCCCACCTGTTTCTTGCATATACCTTACAGGTACAGCAGAGGGTGTTAAGCTTTAACACAAAGAGGCCGTGGCCTGATCGCAGACACCTCCTCAGCAGGCAGCGCACGGGGCTCGGTTTAATTAAAACTGTTTTATTGTAATTCTTCATCTAATTTGAACCAACCGTTAATTAGTGTCTCGGAGAACGTGAGAGAAATTGCACTGTGCAGCTTTTTGCAGACACTGGAGTCACCGTGCCTGAGAAAAAAAATCAGTGAGAGGACATGGTGCATAACTAACAYGTCCACTGGAAGTGCTGATTACGTTGGCACCAACAACTGTGAAGTATAGATATTTCACTGAAATGTGCACTTTTTACTTGGCGCGTTCGTTTGGAGCTGAAAGCACATTAGAAAAAGAGCAGCTGAATTTAAAAGCAGTTTTGGTGACTATTCTGTCTAGAATCCTATTAGTTACAAAGATTTTTTTTGTTACATGGTATCAAAGACAATCTGGGAAAGAAGCAGATAATTATTTTTTACAACCAATGTTGTGGAAAAARGGGTTTCTCTTTCTGGGCTCCATCTTACCTGGTGGGCTCTGAGGAACCTTTGGTAGKGGGCACTCTCAAAGGTCTCTGTCATCAGGGACCTGAACCTTGGACAATCTTTACCTGGAGATTTTAGCAGCTGGAAATGGCAAATAAAAAGCACAACACAAAAATTATCATTTTAATTTTACATTTAAAACAAATTCAGTGTTGAAGCAAACCAGCTTCTCAGCTGAGGTGAGACAGCAGGGTACAGATGAAGACTCCGGTGATTTTTATGCATACAGCTGTGCATGGCTGCTGGATGAAAAGGAAATATTTATTTGCTGCAGAAGCCCACCTTGTCCTGGGCCCTGGGGACGGTGTGCACTGGAATGGGACGCCACAGTAACTGGGGCATGATGGGAGGCGGGCGCCTGGCAGGAGGAAACATCCCGGCGAGGCAGGCTTGGGCGCTCATCAGAGTGCGATCATAGTCTGTGCTCCGGACGTAGACCTGTTGTAAACATGGATAAAAGGAGATGTTCCAAAGCTCACATGTGCTGGGGCTGATAATGGGTTCCTTTAAAAGGGTAACCAAAATAATAAATAAATAAATAAATAAAGTGGTATTTCTGTCATTTTTGTTGTGATGCTCTGTTATTAGTTATAAATAATTAGCTCTTTTATTGCCATGAAATCTATCATACAGCATGGAAAAGGCTTGGCTAACGGCTAACCAAACAATGGTCTATTTTATATTATTTTAGAGGCTTCTAAAACAGTTATATTCTTAAAATTGATGAATAATTAAAAATACAACAATCCTATTGTTAAAGAATACTAAATTAGCTAATTATGTATATTAATTAAAACTAACTAACTAAATAAACCTTGTAAAATTGTTCATACAAACATTATTTAAGAATTTTTTACATTATCATCAATTTTGTGCTGCATGCTTATTCCATCAGAAATATCGTGATATTATAAGGAAATACTGTATAAGCTAGTTATTGCTGAMAAAAGCCATAGAATGTAAAGTAGAGAAATTGAATTTCCTGCGAAAATGCAGTGTGAATGTTTTGTGCTAAATAATTTAGCCGAAAGCTGCTGAAATATTTTTACACCAAGCTAAACTAAACTGAACTATTAATGCTTGAATTTTAACAACTGGGGTAGAAGCCCAACTTAGATGAATGATGGTTGAAATTTTTTGAACACAAACTATGAAAAACAAAAAATGTAGAGTGGCAGAATATAGCAGAAGAAATGAAGAAATATGCAGCTAAAAAGCAAAAGAAGTAAAAATATATAGATGAAAGGGGCAGAAAAAGCTGAAGAGGACAGAAAAAAAGAAAAGTTTAAAGTAGCAGAAAAATAGCTGAAAAGTTTGGAATAAGCTAAAATAACATCAAAAAGCTCAAATCAGCAAAATAAAAGCCAAAATCACCACAAAGAAGTTAAATGAAGGAGAACCAGAACAAAAGGTAAAAAGTAAATTGTAGACTTATGAACATGTTGGAGGGCTTTAAAAACATTGAAAACATCTTCATTCATTTTTAATTAACTAATCAAATGTCCAAAAAAGCTAAATATCTTAAAAAGTATTGCAGAAGTAGCAAATGTCAGAATGTCCTGAAGAAATTGAATATTTTAATATATATGTTGTTGAAATGGCACAAAAATTGCAGAGCTAGATACGGGCCAAAAATGTAGGAAAAAAAAACATTAATATTGAGTGAATTTTTTATAAGCATTCATAACAATAACTATATAACATAAAACTGATGGCAATGAAAATTAATTTTAGAAAAGAAATCTGCAAGACAGCAAAAATCTGCTATATTTTGGCTGCTACACAGAATAGCTGTTAATTTGTTAATCTGGTCAGAAAAAAACAATTTCTCCAAAGTGGCATAATTCAAAAAGCTATTTTCAACAGGTAAGGTTTATCCAGAACACTTCTTCAAAGGACCCTCTTAATATAAGGAGAAAGATATCTAAATAAATGAGAAAAGAAGTCGGGGATCTCTTCTGACATCAGCCTTAGCTAATCTATATCACTCTGTCGCTCCACGTCAGGGGTTTTTAACAGTAAATCGCACTAATAGGAAGTGAAGTCCCTGTGATCCCAAGAATACTCCCTTTGCACCCTTCTTTTCTGTAGAATCTAAACAGACACAGGAGTTCAGGGAAAGGCTCGGTACAAGTTGACAAAGACTTGGGGACAAATTACCTACGACAAGTACTGAGCGGAGTTGTTATTTTCATGGTAATTGCATGTTGTTTCGGAGCGAGAGGAGGACGGGTTTAAAGAGGCAGGGGAGAAGGAAACAATAAGASAGGGAAAAAACAATAAAAGGCAGCGAGTGCATGGGATGTTGAGGGGGACAGGAAAGAAAAGAAGCATAAATCATATTCTCATGATGACAGTTTGCTGAGCCTGCAGCCCAGGGGCGCACTGAACATACATGCTGCCAAGTGTACTGTACAAACTGTAGAGCCCAGGGGCTGCATTATCCCCACGTTTTAGTGTCTAACAAGGCCACGGCTGTGATATCACCACAATGTGTCACAATCATTAACTTAGTGCACATAGTCATACCCTCTACAGATGGTACACAATCAGATTACAAATGAAATTCAGATCATAAAGAGAGAAAACTACCGCAAATAGAAACCTGAGAGTAAATTTGCCCACCTCTTTGTTGTCATAATCTTCACCCAGAAAGCTTCCATAACGTCTTCGCAGAAATCTTCCCAGCTCGAACTGCTGTTTCATACCCAGCTGGGAGAGATACCAAAACAGATGTTAGCTACCTTGGAAAAAGAAGCAGAAAGCTAACTAGAAGCTAAAATTGGCATAAAAAGATAAAAACGCAGTGAGCATGCTGAAGCAGATTTCAAGGAAAACACTATGTATTAACTCCTGAATCAGCTGAATGTTTTGACATGTGAATGGCTAAAATAGCATAAATTACACAGAAGTAGTTAAAATGCAAAAATGAACAAAAAATGTATTAATGCTGACTCAGCTTTTTAGACGCAGAAAACAAGGACATTTTTGTGCCTGCTTTGTGAAATCTATCACTTATTTTTTTGTGCCAAAGAGGTGTTCTTCTGTTGCTATTTTTATGAGAGGCCCTTTAGGCCATAATTCAAACTTGCTCTGTAAATTTTGTTTGATAGTAAATGTAAGAGAGTTTGATAGTAAATGTGAGAGGGTTTGATAATATGTGAGAGGGTTTGATAATATGTGAGAGGGTTTGATAGTACATGTTAAAGTAAGTTTGAATTAAGGCCTAAAGGGCCTCTCATATATTTTTGTTGATTTGATGGCAAACTTTTAATAGTTTGTTGTAGTAAATGTTACCTGTGTTACAGTCCTAAAAATCTAAAGCATATTTACTAACYTCTTATTTTAAACCTGTCAGTTTTATCTTTTGTCAAATGTTCCTAAGCCTTTGTTGAATTCATGCAGACATGTGGTTGGACGGATACATTTTATACACCTTAACACTTCTAAAACCTTTTCAGGTGCAGGTGTTTTGGTTACTTACCCCATCTTGTAAAAAAAAAAAAAGAAAAAGAGAATGACAGAAACACCGAGTAGCAGTATGTACCTCAGTAAGCTGTCCAAAGCCCTGAGCCCACACTTCCTCCCCATGTGGATCCCTGGGGTACGACTCAATAGGCGATCGATCGCCGTGTCGGAACACCTTAAAAGTCAGAGCAGATGATATCACATGAACTCAGATRTGGTGCTGCTCCATCCTCTGCTCGTGTACTTCAGGGCGAGAAATCCACCTTGAAGCAGAAGTCATAAACAGAAAACCCAGAGCTGCCAGCAGATCAAGTCTGGAGCTGTGGCCCCCAGGAGGCCCTGTGCTAACGTAAACGGATCCATTAGCTTTATTATTGTCAAAGTCAAATAAATATTCCGATTGATATTTTAAGGAAAAGCGTTTTACAGCGAAGCAAACACGTGAGAAGAATGAAAATGTAGAGGTGTCGCAACAAATCAGTTGTTTTTCCTGTAAATTAATGGCTTCACTGTAAGTCAGGGGCTTTGCTCTTTTCCAGGAAAATAGAGGTTGTATACTTTCTGTGTAAGTAAGTCATTAAAAGGTTTTCTGTGGACTCAAGATGGGTAACTGTGAACTTTAGGAAGGCAAAAAAAAAAACAACATTTCACTGGAACCCTGGAATGATTCCCAGAAAGAGAGAAGAAGCAAGGTTAAAGCTTTGTTCAGGGTCATCTTTAATAAATTTTGGATTTGAACGCAGGTCCAGCATGTTCAATAACCAGTGAAATTCTGTATATATAAGAAATTTATGATGGTGTTGTCAGGAAGAGTCACTGTTTCATTTAATGTATTAAATATATTAAAGTCCTAACATTAACTAAAAGAAGACTCAGCTTCAGATATAATATCCAAAAGATAAATTTATGAACTTTTCTAGTTCACGCCTTGTCATCTGACCTTATTTTACTGTTGGACTGCTTGTTGTTGCTTTTTGAAGCAGAACATGAATGGAACAAAACAAACCTGATATGCTGGAGGTATTAGAATCAGGATGAACTGCGTGAGAGCAAAGAATTCAAAACTGTCAGGCAATAAAGTCTCGGGTGGTGTGGGCCATCCAGGGAATCCTGGTGTTAATCCAGTCCAAGACTATCGCCAATTCTGATGCTGATTCTGATACTTTTTCACAGGAAATGACATGATGATTGAATAATTTTGTACATCTGCCTTCAGTTAGTCGACTTTTATAAAACAACATGTCAATGATTTTAGTCAAATAAAAAGGTTTTGTTCAACAAACAACAAAATAAAACAAGTAAAAGTAGAAAAAATAATTCCCTTAATACCTTCAACTGTTCAAGAAAATTATTACTAAAGCAACAATGTAACAAAATTATAAATATAACGACGTCAGCAACACAACACAACATATCTTCCGTACCTGGGCATGATGTAGAGGAGGGGTTTCAGCTGACTAACTCCAAATAACTTCACTCTATATTCACTTTCTTTTTCATTTTATTTGTGAAAAATAAAGTTGCAGTCCAAATAAAGTATCGATCCGATACAGATGCTTATCTTGATATTGATACTATCAATACTTAGATCGATACCACCCACGGAGGTTAAAAAAAAAACATCCTCTTTTATTACTATGGTTTTAGATCAGGGTGTCATGTCACAGGTTGTAAAAGTATTTAAGTCTAACTTCCTGTGCACTAAAACACTTATTTAATTGGATCATGACCTTGTTTATTTAACAGAAACAAAGCCAAAAGTTCTTACCGTGATTCAACAATTTTTCATTCATTTCTTTCTTTATTCTATTTATTTCTTTGTTTATTTATTTTCCCTTTTGTTGTAATTTTGCTGAGATTTGTTGAATATTTTAATTTTATTTTTTATTTACTTGTTTATTTTATTAGGAAACAAAACAAATTCAAATCACAAGTAAAATGAAAGGCAGCAGAAAGAAGAAAACAATCCTATATCTGCCCATATTTTCCAAATAAGTTCAAGCAATAATAATGTTCAAGTAATAAAACCAAACAAAAACTTTAACTCCTTTATGAACAACAGCTCTTATAAATACACAATATACAATTTCTTATTTTTTAACTAACTATCTTTTATCATTCTCATAAACAAACACATTGAGCCAGCATTTTTATAAACACTTTCCAGATTATCCCACAATCTTATTCCTTGAACTGAATTACATCGGTCCTTCAAATTTGTTTGAATTTTAGGTTTTACAAACATCTCTAGTCCTTTGAGATTATAATAGCTTTCCCTCTTAACAAAATTTGATTGGATGTTTAAAGGTAATATTTTTTATGAGCCTTATAAGTAACCTGCAAAATATTATAATCAACCAACTCGTAAAATTGTAATAATTTCAATTGATAAAATAAAATGTTTGATGTTTTCTAGTGACATTTCTCCCAGCTCTTTTCTGTAAAATGAAAATAGGATTTGTAATTGTTTTACACGCTTTCCCCCAGACATCATTTACCAGAATGTTAAGCATTACATCACAAAAAAGAGAGAAAAAATGATTTTTTTACGATTTTAGATTTTAATTTTTGTAATATGGTCAATTTTTTTCAACTTGAAACTTTATTTCATCATTTCCAGTCCTTTTGATGCTATTGTCATGTGATGCCAACATGCTTGTTTTATTTTTTATTATTTTATTTTATTTTATTTTATTTTTAGGTAGTAAAATGAATGCAACAACTGAATGTAATCTGTGTGACCTCCTGCGAACTTTATCTACATACACTTCCACTTCACACTGGATGACGACTACTTTGTGTCACATCTGATGCTGCAAATTAATTTAGGAAAACAATAAAATGTACAAAATTACTCSCAAAATGAGTGAGAAGAGATGCACAGCTTCAAAGCAATCCCTAAACTGATCTCCTGGTATTTTCCATAAAAATAAAACAGATTTTTCAACCAATTTTTTTATCTTTTGTTCAAAAATACTAATTAGGTAATATCATATTAAACATTTGAAAATTTGAGCAGCACTTGAAAAGTGTTTTTTGTGTGCAGCATCTCTATGTAATTCGACTGTGTGCCGAAATGTTACATAAAGAGGTTTACAGAGAAAGCTGCAGTGTCTGGGAGAGATAYGCACAACACTGTCGCGGGTTAGGCTCAGAGTAATCCTTTGTGATAAAAAGAGTAAATAAAATAATTCTCACTGGGCAGAAAAAAAAGCAGTGTAATCAGCAACAATGCAAATCAAAAGAAGCTGTCAGATTATGGTAAAATCACGCCTAACAGCGAATAAATGCTGTCAGTAACACTTTGCAAACATCTCGTGTGTGTGATGACTTACCAGTTTAAAAAAGTAAAAATAAACTGAGGATGACGCTGAAATTTTGAAATAGAAATATTGTGGTTGCGAATTTGAATATGAAGAGCACACTTACAGCAACAACAAACTTCAGCTGTCGGGACTGGGTCAGGCCGAGGCAGCAAAGGAGGTAGAAACAGGTCAAACTTGTCTGTAACATCCGCACCATCTTGGTTCATCAAACCTGGATTTGTTTTAATATAATGTGAGGAAAAAGGAAAAAGAAAATATGCATGAGCAATGGGTCACCTGAACTCAAATATTCCTTTAAAACCTCCATCAGTAAAGCATTAAAATCTAAATAAAGGTACTTATTTCAGCATGTTTGGACCCATTCGGCTGATTTAGGCACTCAACGCTGTGTGTCACACATCTTCAAACATACACAAAGTGTCAGTTAGTCCTTGTTTTGTTGATGTTACCCAGTCCACCTACCTGACTTTGTCCTTCTCTCCTTCTTTCTTCAAGAGTTTCTGCTCCCACTGAACTTCCTCATCAACTGGTGCTCCAATCACTGCGTCTGCCAGTTTCCCTGCCTCGTACCTGACTTGACAGACAACTAGATGGACAAAACACGGATGGTTGCACTCGAAAGACTCAGTCAATCACATGTTCTTAAGGTTTTTTTTCTTTCCTCTCGGTGACAAAGATGTTGCTTAGATGCTCCCACCTGGCTTTACAGGTTGTATTCTCGGGTGTAAACACAGATTTATGAAGTTAAACACCGGCCTCAAGGCCACAAACACTCATTAAGATGTGCTACATCATCTGCTGTGGGTTTGGCCCCACAATTATAGTCCCTACAATGTTTTCTCTAACCTAGCATTTCTGTAGGTGTGAGTCAGTGTTGAAGCAGCATCATGGGATATAATGAGATTACAATGAGTGCAGGTTTAAAGCCACACATGTTGGCATCATATATATTAGTGTGTGACCAAGTTCTTGACAAAAATTCACAAAGCTGACCTGGTAGAGTAACAAATCAAAGCCTTGCATTTCTTAAAGTTAACTCATGTATGTGTTTGCTCAGGGTATGGCATGGCAGCCATCCATTCTCAAAGTTAATCAGTTGTAGATGTATGTTTCACAGAAATTCAATTCAAATTCAACCAGTGGTTTATGACATGTTACAAAATAGAGTTGACTCTAATAGAAAATGGCAAAGTTTTTTTTAAAGAGAGGTATTATATACTTCCCATACGCGTAGTTCAGTTCCATACCACAATCAAGTAACGATGTTACTTTCAGTTGTTATGAAAATGCTGTCAAAAATAAATGCGACGCCTCGAAATTGCCCTCTGTCTCTTTGAGAACCTCCTACCATTTCTGGCATTCCCACTTCAGCTCTTTAGGGTGGGAGCTCAGCTGCTGGGAGGAGCTATGTAGAAATAGGCGGGGCTTTGTACCAGGCATTTAGGCAGCTCTACGCGGCTGCCACAGGAGCTTCAAGGATTTCTCCATCATGCATAAATGAGTCAGCACTCTGGGTGTGTTTTTGATGAGGGAGTGACATTATAAATTATAGATAAAAATAAATACAGTGATGAAGAATGTGTTGGGAATGACTCTCAGACACCACCACACCAGTAACTGCACAATTGGCTCAGCTGCAGCCTTTTTTGTGTTTTTCAAGTTTACTTAGCTGGGGACAACAGTTTGAATCAGGCTCACTCCAAAAGGTAAAGAGTTGTTAATGTGCGTCCACAGACTGCATTTAGAGTTTCACTAAAATCCATCAAGTGGGCAACCAAACATTTTGCTAACAGACACACACGCATAGCCATGGGCGATTATTAAAAATATAGACCCTCCTAGGAAAAGAAGAGCTTCAGCTCATCTGCATGTGTTGCATTTTCTCATAGTCCTGTGCACAAAGTTGCATCCTATCCAAGCAGATACCAGCGGGGAGAAGAGGGGTACACTCTGGATAAATCGACCATTTTTTTTTTACAATCAGTTTATAAAGCAATATGGATATTTAAAACCTGTAAAACACAGAAAACAGACTCACAGGAAATGAAACAAAATATTTAAGGAAAGAGTTTTTCTAAAGATTGCTTGATGTGAAAGGCTGACTTTCAGGATCATAGCCAGCGGAAACAGCCATTTCAAAAACTCATACAAGAGTGGAGGAGTGGGGTGTGGTTTTTGATTACACCTCCTGATATCAGCTGAAAAAGACGACATGTGACCCCTCACCTCAAAACAAGGATTAAGTCGAAAAAAAAGTTGTATGTGGAGAAATAGGCAGGTACAGGGTTTTGATTAAAACACTTGCAAAAATTACAGTTTGCCAAAATATCATTTCAATGAACTGTCTGAAATATTATCGTAAAAAAACTTTTTGAAGCACTTTTTTGAGCAGTAGCAACAAAAAACCCCGATTTTGAGGAAAAACGCCTTAAAATTTTTGAAATTTTCTCTGTGAGCTAGCAATGATTTATTTCTTCCCAGCTGGGAAATCTCAATATTCAAATACTATTTCAGGTTTCTTTTTTAAGGTGACATAAAAAGTCCTCAATAAAATGACATAAAATTAGGATTTAGACCAAATATTTTCATATTATTGTAACAAACAAGCCAAATTAAATAATATCTCTGGATCTACTAAAGATATCAGGATGATCGAAGTGTCAAAATGTAGCTTTTAAAGCCAGGAATCTGAAAATAGGATTAAGTCATTTTGACCAAATTTGACTTAATCCTCATCTCGATGTGATGGGTCACATGTATGGGAGGATTTTGATTTTTTGAACTTGTTTTAAACCAAAGATGACAGAGATTTCATTATGTCTTCTTTTAAGTCCTGCTTTTCATTTTCACACTTGCATAATCAAATTTTTTGAGTGCAATGTTGTCTTTAATTTTCTTCACTAAAAGAAAAAAATGTGTAAAACAAAAAAAATAACTATCATCCTTTTAGATGTTTTTGTTTTCAGATGCACAGTACTGACAACAACACAAGTCCAACAAAACATAGACACACACATTTAACTCGTTCTCCGACTCATTTGAAACCAAACCATATGGTGCTCAGTTTGAAACGCAGAATAAAAGTTGTCAGGAACCAAAAACAGAACTTTTTAACTCACAACCAAGTGCTTTAATGAACAGAAGTTGAAGGGATGTGTTTTCTAACACAGTGGAAATCTCTTTGTGTCCATCTGTTCCAACTGTTGGTCTCCTTGTCACAGCGGTGTACAGCAATCACACACRCAAAAAATAACACAAACACATGGTAGGCGACACCGGCAAAGCCACAAACCTGCATGAATGGGTCAATGAGTCCACCTGTACAGATCAGCTGAGCAACACACACACACACACACACACACACACACACACACACACACACACACACACACGCATAGTGTCTTAGCAGAAGGAAGGAGTTCCCCCATATGGACCAATAAACACACTTGTGTCACAATTTGTCCATTTTAACCCCAAAACATAA